GTTTAAGCCCCCGGGTGTGGGACTCAAACCGCGGTTGACTACATAGGAATCCAGAGACGTAGCCATTACACCAACTGCTGGTCCCATCTCATTGTTCTTTTTGCTTTTTTCTTTCTATTTTCTATATCTAATTAAATCCCAAACTGCTTAAAATTCCTCTCGTTACGTGCAGATTCAAGATGTGCAGATTCAACATAGTCTGTCCGTTTGATCTTCCTGGAGAAGCCTCTCCCAAATCCTTCCTGCTTACTGGGGTGGGCACCGGGTTGCCTTCTGCTGCTGCACTGAGTCACCCCGGGTATTTCCCTGTCTCTGGTCTACACTATATATATAATTTCTGACATATGTACAATTACTGTACATCTTCCTGGGGTACAGCATGGTTTTTCGAAGCATGAGTTCAGTGTGTAATATATACACTTGGAGAACCACGGATCTACTGGACCAGGACTCCCGCTCACTCCAGCCAGTTCTCAGGGTGTGAGAGCAGCCTGGACATGGAGGGGAGGGACTCTTCCCTCCAACTCTTGACCCCCTCCCCTCCCATCTGATGGCCCGAACTGTCCTGGAGTCTGAAACTCTTCAGAGGAGAGATCTTCTGCAAGAAATGCTTTCCATTCTGTCAACTGCGGAGAGACCGGATCTGCCTAAGTCACAGCACCTGCCCCGCCAATTGAACTTTGGGTACCGGACTGTGGCGCCCCCTTGAGGGCATCCCGAAACACTGTCGTTTAAAAACTAATTTCTGCCTTTTATGTGCTAAGCGCCAGCTAGGCGCTTTCCATGTTTCAAGAGAACTCGAGGCACAAGTTAAATAACCTGCCCATTACACACCTCTAATAAGTTTGCTGGGGGTTAGCACCTAGGGCATTCTAACTGCCAAGTTTGAGGTCTGACTTCCATGCTATACATAACAAAAACCGGCATCAAAAAAGACTTAAAAACATGTGGGTCTCGATTGCTGCTCTCTGCTACCCCCTGGCGGACTGATGTTCACACAGCAGGGAGAAATAACCTAGCAACAGGGAGAAGCCAATGGTTGGGCTGGCAGAGCAAGGGGCGGGGCAGACGTGAGGTCGGACTCCAGGCTGCCGGCTGTGCCCTCGCTGGCGCTGCCAGCGCAGCCAAGGGGTGAGTGGTCTGGAATTCTTCCTGGGTTTCAGTAAAATGAGTCTTGCTTCAGTGCAAACTGCCAGTTCTCACGTCAAATCTCAAACCTCGCATTGGTTCTCCATTTATTTCCCATTCCGAGATCGGTTTTTCTTTTCTATTTTTTCTTTCTTTTCTTTTTTTTTCTTTTTCTCTTTCTTTCTTTCTTTCTTTCTTTCTTTCTTTCTTTCTTTCTTTCTTTCTTTCTTTCTTTCTTTCTTTCTTTCTTTCTTTCTTTCTTTCTTTCTTTTTTTTTTTTTTTTTTTTTTTTTTTTTTTTTTTTTTTTTTTTTCAGGTGTTTGCCTTAGAGTGTGTGCGCTCTCTGGAAGAGAGAAAGAGAAAGAGAAAGGGAGCAGGGAAGTGAGAAGTCAAACCCTCCCACTCCGGGTGCAGGTGGTGGTACGGGGTGTGTGGGATGGCCCTCCTGCAATCCCTTCTCCTCCATTCTCCTCCTGGGGTCTTGGGCACGCTGGTACATGAGCCCAGCGTGATATTGAAGCCACTGGGTCTGCGACTCCAGCTGTTGTCAGCCAGGTGGGAGTCCAGCGATGTAACCACTACTGTTGCAGGCTATTTGGTGAGACAGCTAGTGAACACCAAGACTTTTGCAGGAAAACAGCAATGTTCCTGTGCTAGCACCAGCTTTGGATTCACATACAAAGGCTGAGCCTCAAATTTCTTGACGGTCTTCCTGTTATTTGTTTTAGTTTCTCTGTCTCTCATATATAGTTATACATGTTTTTACTTACTTTTGATTGGGTAAAAGACTGCTACAGAATGAGGCAGGTATGCACTGGGCTCCCGGGCTGTTAGATAGGCAGGGAACATGAAGTTACAGAGTCGCTAGGTTGCCATCAGGGCCACGAGGTCACTAAGAGTTGCTAAGTTGCTGTGGGGACAGGGCTACAAGGTCACACAGGCTGCACATGTGTAAGTACATTCTAAGCATGTCCCTTTATCTTTTGTCCTGGAAGGCCCCCTACCACTCTCCATCTGCTGGCCCCCAAGATCTTGATTTTGGGCTGTGGCCCCACAGCAGCTCAGGGCTTACATTTGGTTTTCCTCTTTGTTACGGTCTAATTGTGTCTCCCTCAAATTCCTGTGTTGGAACCCTAACCCTCAATGTGCTGGTATTTGCAATTGGGGCCTTTGGGAGGTCATTAGTGTTAAATTGAAGCAGGCCAGTTTGAGGCCTAGCAGGACCTTAGCCATTTTGAAATCAAGAAAGTCCTCTAAGGAAAATACCCCGACCAGGTGCTGAGTCATAAGAAGTTCTGTTTGAGGAATGGTCGGGTGAGAAACCAGGCATGGGTATTTGAAGAATAACAGGAATCAGGATAATTACTCAGAGGAAAGCAATGGACTCTGATTGTGGTGAGGAATGATTTGCACAAGTTCGCATCTTGCGTCTTTACGTTCTGAGAAGAGCTGAGCTGTTTGAGACAGTTTGATGATGCTGGGCCTGTCTCCCTGTAACTGGCTGCAGAAATAAGCCTCTTCTCCAGCTTCTGCCTCTCGTTTCATTGATCATGAGTAGAAGCAGCTGGACTTAGTTTGATGGAAACAAAATGAGGTGATGAGGGCAGGTCCCCCATGATGGGATTAGTGTTCTTTCAGGAAGAGATACCAGAGCGTTCTCTCTCTTTCCCCACCACATCGATGGAGGAGATGATAGCAGTTCTTGTCCATGGCTCACGAGAAATCAGGCTTGTGGACAGAGAGCGGATAGCAAAGTGGAGTGTATTAGGAGAGGGACGGAAGAACAGAACTTTCAAGCAGGCAGTGGGTCCCAAATGGGTTGCTGAAGAGCTGGGGAAAGGGGTTTTTGTCTTGGTCAGGAAGGGCTTTGTCTGAGCTTGTTCTGGGAAGGGATTTGTGCACAAATTCCTCTTGAACTAGGGTCACATGCTAGATGGGGCCAGTTATTTCTCTAAGTTTGGAGTATGAAGATCATGAGACTATTTGTAAGCATTGGGCTATAAAACCATGATCTTATCATCTTTTCAGAATGTGATGGGATTGAAGCAGGGGGGACTCCTTGGAGAAGGAACTCCATCTTGGATGAGTGCCTCCATTATAAACTGTTAAATTCCTGTGACTAATATCTCAGCGTTGATAGCTGTCTAAGGTTTCTGCCCTCCAGCAAACTTACAACTCCTTCCTGGAGCTACAGGATAACCTCAAAACCTTGGGTGGATTAGTACTTAGAATAGATTAGTACCTGGAATAGATAAGTACCTTGAATAGATTAGTACCTTGAATAGATTAGACTTCCTGCTTCTCTGACTCTTTCCTTTGATGCTGCTTAGGGCGGGATCTGAGCCCATTTCCCATCCTGAGACCGCCCCTTCCTCAATTCCCATATAAAAATCCTTTTCCAATCCCCAGTCGGGGTAGAGAATTCAGTGTTAACTCCTCTGTGTCTGCTGGCATAATAAACAATTCTAATCTCTCCAAATGCTGCTTTCCATTCCTCGGTGTCTGGTTTCCTGCAACATTTTGGTGCATTGGCTGGGAAACGGAATCCGATGGCCCTTTGAGCCATCGATCCCAGGACGTTTCTGCCTGGGACAGACACTACAGTGTGGGGAGATAGGTGTACCCCCATCTCATTTGTTGGGATCCCTCAGCTGGGGTGCATGCCCTGAGGCCAAGCGTTCCTGGATCATTGGATTCCAATTGGAGAGAAGGACCAATTCCTGAAACTTGATGTATCAACCTTGGTCAGCTCTGGTTACCTTGTAAGCCCATGGGGATCTGTAGAGCTCTAGTCAGACCCACTCGATTTGAGTGGAAAAGGAAACCTGTACACTCTCCTTCAGTTGCATGACAGGCAGTTAGGGCTCATCTTGTAATTGGCTTGTCCGTGGTCAGCTCTGGTAATGTGTTAAGCCCCCAGTGAACTTTAGAGCCCTAGTCAGACCTACTCGGATTGAGTAGACGAGGAGATCTGTACACTCCTTCGGTCACAGGACCAGCAGTTAGGGCTCCTCTGGTGTATGGGGCAGGAATGTATAACCTCTAAATGAATGTGACTGTTTGTGACAAGTGAATGTGTTTGTGACTTTATGGCTTCTCACTATGGAGCACGATTAGGTCTGTGCGATTCCATGGTATCCACCATTGGAATACCGAGAGGATGGACCCCAGAAAGAGACTGCTGTGGTCCTTCTGATTGTAGCCCTTGGCCGAGGCCCTCCTGCAAAACTTGAACAAACTTATCTCCTGTGCTGCCTGGCCTGTTCAGTAGCACCCCCAGGAGGCTGCACAACTTTGGAGCCTCTGGGCTAAGGCTCACTCCCAGGAGCCACCATCCCTCCAGAGTTTCCTCATCGATCCCTTCCAGCAACCAGTGATCCCAAATTGCAGGCTTTTAATAACTAGAGAGGTCAGAAATATTTGAAATACAATAGGAAAACCTCAATCTAACCAAGCGCACTGTGCTGGACCATATGCTGAAAAACTCTAATGGTATAGGCAACAAAAAGTTAAACCCACTTTCCTCGAGTATATAATTAAACATTTCAAGAAAGGGAGTTACTCTAAAGAGTATTAATGTCAAAGTAACCCCAGGGAAATTAGCTCTTATAATCCTGATGTGTGCATGTAATCCATATGTGTGATATGTCAGGTTACGTACTACGTGTATGTCTGTGTGAAAAAAAAAAAAAAGGCCTTAAAGAATTCTGTTCAATCTGGTTTATAAAAAGAGTGCTCATACAAATTAGTTTGAAGTTCATATAACTTTAGTGAAAGAGCTGGCTTCAAATGTAATGAAAGAAAAAGATTAACAAGTGAAAGTCTTCACAATTTCCAACATACATTTTGTCTAGGTTTTCATTAATCAAGCAACATCATGTTTATCATAGTATGGCTGGTTTAATGAAACAGCTAGTATTTATGTGTTGTGTGTTGCATTTTACATAATGGATATCTAACAGGGAAACAAATTCATGACTAGCTCTTCCTGGCTTTAGTTTTAGTGCTAGCGGAAGGTCTTTGACCTCAAAGTAACTCTTGGATGTTCACAGAGGGCCCCTGAAACATCCAAAAGGGAGCTGTTAAACCAATCAGGATTATTGGTTATATGTTGGATACAATGGAAAGCATTGTCATATTAAGTAATTCTAATTTTCTTGGTATTATATTTAAGTTATATGTATAAATATGTTATGTACTTGTATGTCTATATATATACGTTGTTTCAAAATAATTTGAGATTCCCAGGAATTAATGGTAGGCTATTATATTAGGCTGGTATATCTAGCTAAATTGCTTTGTCAGTTATTAATTTTTGTCAGAGCATTAGCTATGGTTATAATTCTAATGTTATGTCCTTAAGGAAATTCACAAAGAGGATGGATAGAGAATGTACTCTTACAAGTACAGGTTTCTAAAAATTCAAATTTAACTGGGTAAAATTTCATTTTCTATGTAAACTGCTTGGTTATATAAATTATTATGCCAAAATTAACCAAGGAAAAGTAAGAGAATGTTTGACAAAATTTCATGCTAAGAAGCCAATGCAATGCACCTGAGTTAAAGAGGTAATGTTGGTATAAAGGGATATAAATCCAATGTTAAACATAAATTCATGGAAACATTATTGCCTGGTTCTGAGTCTTCCTTATAATTCTTGTTAACTTAACATGCTTTAGTTATTCCTATTATTGGTCTTTAAATTTTATAAGAAATATCGAGAGGGTCTATTAATAAGATTGTTCAGTTTTATACTGAAAAAGTTGTTAAGCAAAATTTGTTATTGTTTGTACATGTTTATAAGCTGCTGGTGTATGCTAAAAGTTAGGGTTGCTGAAAATCAAAAAATTTGATTAATATAGATGTATGAAATTCTATTTTTATAAGCTTAATAGCTCCTCTAAAAAATCAAATTTCCCAAGGTGGAAGAGGAAAAGATAAGTATGGGCAGTTATTAAAAATTGGGCTATAGGGAACCAGCAGTTAGTGTAATGGCTATGTCG